ACACATATATATATATATATATATATATATATATATATATATATTGCAATTTTATAGTGTTGCTACTTTTGGTTATTTTACCTTTGACTGTTTTAAATGTGGAACATAAAGCAATATCACAGACTAAGAATCAAATTGCAAAGAGCAAATGAGAGTTATGGGTTTTAACAAAATTGAGCAGGCTGCATTTACATGATTTATCAATACATAAAAAATCATGAATACACACTCCATGCCATGCCAGTGAATTATGCTGAGCTTTACTTATGATGTAAAGTGCTTTTGGCACATTTATCAAACTTTAGTTATAAGCTTATGGGCTACAAGACCAGGCTTGTCAGATACAGCAGGTAAAGAGTTTACAAAAAATAATAATAATAATTGAAACAAAAGATACATTTACTTGAGGGGCAAAACTGTGCAAGACATGAAAAATTGTTTTCTTGACAATCTTGAATTCAATTTATTTTTCCTTCCAAAATAATGTCTATAAATTTGTATTTTAAACATACGTTTCAGAAGAAAAATGTACAACACCCACACTTAGGACAATCTTCTTAAATATCGAAAAATGTTTTAAAATCTTAACATGTACTTTAACAACATCTCAAGTAAATTGAGCCTTTTACTGGCAAAAAAACTGATTAATTTTGCAGTGTGGTTGGAAACGTAACAGTGAGGGGTAAATCTGAGGTAAGATAATGAATGAAAAACTGTGAGGTTATTCAGTGCTGCTGCTCTTCTGTTGCAGTAATGAGGAATGGCAGCAATGCTACAGGCATGAGCCGCAATGAATCACCAACTGCCCAATTAATTATTATATTACACCACTCCACGCATGCAACGATTAGAGATGGCAGAGGTGAAATAACAGAACACCGATGTTATAAAGATACAGTATGTTCATATTTTAATATGGACCCAGTGTGGTATACTGTATGGGTATTACATACATATATAACTAGTAATACTCAGTTATGATGAAGAAATGATTGCACAACTCTGACTGTTCAATTGTGACAAATTAAGAGTCATGTACGTAGAATATATTTGGATGCAGTATGACATGAATATTAGCTGTAAAGAAAACCCCAAACTGTTTCACTCACCGATTTCATTCCCACAATGCTTTGCTCCACCTTGGTGACATAAGTGACATGGTCTTCATTCGATCGTAATTCTCTCAGCTGAATACGCTCATATATTCCCACTACCATGTCTCGTGGAATATCTGCACCATCATCAACCCCTAAATAAAAACACACATCAAAAGTGCTGAATATATACACATAATAAATAAATATCATATAAAATATTCAAATAATCACAGTCCTATTGTATTAACATCTCAAGTAAATTGAGCCTTTTACTGGCATAATGAATGAAAAACTGTGAGGTTATTCAGTGCTGCTGCTCTTCTGTTGCAGTAATGAGGAATGGCAGCAATGCTACAGGCATGAGCCGCAATGAATCACCAACTGCCCAATTAATTATTATATTACACCACTCCACGCATGCAACGATTAGAGATGGCAGAGGTGAAATAACAGAACACCGATGTTATAAAGATACAGTATGTTCATATTTTAATATGGACCCAGTGTGGTATACTGTATGGGTATTACATACATATATAACTAGTAATACTCAGTTATGATGAAGAAATGATTGCACAACTCTGACTGTTCAATTGTGACAAATTAAGAGTCATGTACGTAGAATATATTTGGATGCAGTATGACATGAATATTAGCTGTAAAGAAAACCCCAAACTGTTTCACTCACCGATTTCATTCCCACAATGCTTTGCTCCACCTTGGTGACATAAGTGACATGGTCTTCATTCGATCGTAATTCTCTCAGCTGAATACGCTCATATATTCCCACTACCATGTCTCGTGGAATATCTGCACCATCATCAACCCCTAAATAAAAACACACATCAAAAGTGCTGAATATATACACATAATAAATAAATATCATATAAAATATTCAAATAATCATAGTCCTATTGTATTACTTTCATATCCTCCATTGGTCAACAGCCTTTGACACACAATGTTACACTTTTTTGTATTGATTTATTTACACTGTGTCTGGAACGAATATTTATATTTTCCATTGTATGATTGTTTTTTCTTAAGAGAAAGTGTTTTTTTCTAACCACTAGGCTAGATGTGCATTATGAACATAATATGCAGCAAAGCAGATTAAGACTAATGAAATTTAGGAAGACTCAAGGAGTCACGAAAACATCAGGGGATGTTATGCAAAACCAGATGAGGAGATGAAGAAGATGAATATGGAACATACTTTTTTTTTCTTACCCTATGAGAGAGGGTTGAATGTACGGGGGATTGTGGGATTGACAGCAGAGTGGAGCCAGTGTCAAAAATTTGCGAAAAACTTGGCTTGATGGCAAAATATGCAGAGCTGCAGCCAATTACTGTAAGGTGCAGGCAGCAAATACATTTAGATGATATCAAAATATTGTAATATTGGTAACACTTTACAATAAGGTCCCATCAGTTAATGTTATTTCTGTCATGACAAGTCTCTGAGGAATTGGCATGGTAATGTACATGACAATGTTAATGTATTTGGCCTTGGCGGAATATATCTGCTACGCTGCTGCTGCTGCGGCAGAGCAAGTACCGAGACTTGCTACTGCCAATACATCCACAACATGCTGCTGTGAGCATGTAAGAAATACTGCTGCTGCACATATCGCCATCTAGAGTTTCATGCCAGAACTCTGTATTTCATGCAGTGCATTAACCAACAATGAGCAATACATTAGTTAGTTCATTTTAAGGTAATGTAGTTATCCAGTGATGTCAACAAATGGAGCCATATTATAAAGTGTTACTGCAATGTTGTTAGTTTTATATTATTTGAAAATAATGTGACTCTGTATCTGACCCTTTTAAAGGGAAAAAGCTGTAATGTTATGAGTTCAGAGACAAAAGTACAGCAATGCAAGGAGCCAAAGTAAGATCTGCTCGTGTAAAGAGAGTTTCTGTGTCACAGAGTAATGAAAATGAAAGTTTACACTGTGAAATTAACAGAGCGCTGATATTTTAAAAAGTAAAAATGACACATGCACATAGCAAAATTATGAACTAAAATTAAAATCAAAACTGAAAGTGACATTTTTAACGAAAATGTAAAATAAAAGTTCTAAATATTCCTCAGTTCAGGAAAAAAAAAAAAAGAAATATATATA